CCATTTCAATGCAAACAATCTATCTTTTCCTCTTCTATACCAATAAATAAAATGTCTGTTTGTAATATTAAAATGACCGCTTTTAACTAAATGCATATGTATGTCAACACGGCAAATATACAATTTATTTATTTTTTCATTATTTGTCTGTCTGTCTGTCTATTTATTCCAGCTAATTTCTGAAACAGCTGGACCAATTTTGACGGGACTACACTAGCAGATAGCTAATGTAATAAGGAGTAACTTAGGCTACTTTCCACGCGGACTAAGTAGCGAGCTAGTCTAATAACTAGATAGAAGTACACATAGGTAACACATGATTTTCCCAATTATGGCGGATGCCAAATTGCATACGAAACTATGATCAAATCTAACAGTCTGAGCTTCGCTAACGACTATGATTGAAATGTATATCAGACTAGGTAGATAATGGATCGGGCGAGGATAATAAAACTGTTAGTCTATTGTTTAGTCTGTGTATTGTCCGTGCATCGCTATTTTAGTTGAAACATTATCGGCAACCATTAGAGTAACATAAAGTTTGGTACACATAGATCTGCCATCGGATGGCAAAATGTTACAGTTCAAAATTCCACATTTTGATGAAATTAGACTAAAGGTTTTTTTATAATTTTTACTAATTTCTTGTAAATAATGCAAGATAAAAGTTTATTTCCAAAATAATACTAAAATCATTATTTTTATTTTTCAAGCGATTGTTGTCCCTAACACCCGATTTCTGAATTGAAAATTAACTTAAATATCTCAAACTTTATTTAAACCACTTTATTTAACGAAACGGTTTCCGTTTGTGATTTTAGTGTTTTTAATGATCAGTTGAAAGCAGTTTAATAAAATAAGGACTTTTTGACTCGTGAAACGTAACAAACTTGAGTTATTGAGAATAATCAATTGTGATTTTGTATTTTCTCAATTCGTTTTAGATTTTAACATAGCATATAGTTTATCTACAGAAAAAAGATTAAAATGCACATCTAACGCCAGGACAGACCAGGATCCCATCTCGAACACCTAAGATGCATGATATTTTTAAGCATTTTTGTTTAAGATAAATAGTTGGTATTAATATAGCATTGTGAATTAAAAAAATGATCAAATATTATATAAGATTTCAAAATTACAGCTGAAAATAAACATTAAAATTTTAGAGCAAATAAAAGAAATTAAAATTTTAACATCATGTGTACTTACGCTAATAAAATGCTAATAAAGAAGACAGTCAAAATCAAAATGTCAGCACTTACGCCGCGTCGAGCGTAAAATTTCCAGACAATGTACAATCTTTATTTATATCGTGTATTTTAAGAAGTAAGAAATGCATTTTATTTTATATAACATTGTTATTAGCTAGGAAAATGTAATGAGAGATCTTTTATTAAACTAAGTTAACATTTTTTAGGGTTCCGAACCCGAAGGGTAAAAGCGTTACTCTATTACTAAGACTCCACTTTCCATCCGTCTATCACCAGGGTCTATAAGTTGAAATTTTCACTGATGATGTATTTCTGTTTTCACTATAACAACAAACACTAAAATTAAATAAATATACGAGGGGCTCCTGTACAACAAACGCGATTTTTTTGAGTTTTTAAGGTTTAGGAGTAAACAAGGAACCCTTATAGTTTCGCAATGTCCGTTTATCTGACAGAAGTTTCGCTCAAAAACTATTGGCACTAGGAGATTAAAATTTGGCAAGAGTAAGTATATACATTAATTACGCCGACAAAGTGGTAAAGAAAAAATTTGTAAAGTACCTTCACTACATGTAAAGTGGGGTATGAAATTTTTTTCGTCTTTCACATAGTGTGGGACATCGTTGGATGTCTTTCAAAAACATTGGGGCATAAAGGAAGGCCGTTTTTTATTTAGTTAACCATTTGTGACTTATTCTTAATGAAAAATGCTTTGTCCTTGCACTCTGATATAGGTCTGGAACCGATTTTGCAACCTTTTACAATCCGCACTAGTTACTTTTTCGCTACTACAGAGCGTATTTTCATCAATGTTCAGGTAACCACCCAAACTGCCGAAAGAACTATTTTTTACAAATATTAAAATTTTCGACAAAGACGAAAATTTGTTCTAATTATAATAATTGATCAATTGACTGCGAGACTCGTTTTTATTATAGTTGGGATTACAATTTTATCATATATAATAATACGAAATAGGTAAAAAATAATCGTATAGCAGTAAGGTTGCCAGATTTTTTTTCAGCCTGTGCCTGCAAAAAATACGGGATTTAAAATTTTTATCCTGGATCGATAAATAACCAAAATTACTTACTTTTTATATTTTGTCAAAGAAACGCTCATGTTTTAACATATTTTTGTTGAATTTGACGTAATAAAAAAAAAAATCATAGTGAACTGTGGTCATTAATTTGGTTTTTATTAAGTTGGAGGAACATTTATTTTGTTCATCGCCCCACTTTAACACCATTTCTGAAATCGATATGATTTACGGGACAAAGTCGGTCCCGGCGGGACATTTGAATTTATGCATGAAATGCGGGACGTCCCGTCAAATAGGGGACGTCTGACATCATAATTATTTTAAATGTATAAATGTTAATTTAAATATAACTAATTTCTACTCATTACTCCTTATCTTATTTAAAATGTTAACTATTTGTGAACAAGAGAATAGAATAAATTCACCATATTATGAGTTAACAATAGTAATGTCACTGCAAATTCATACTAAAAGAAATAATAGGTCGTTAGTTATAATTGACTTATTATAGGTAATTATGTTAAAAATGGAAGCAATTTGTCTACCAGTAAAGCCACGTATTCACTGTTGATGATTAGCGGTGCCTAAATTGAATACGGTCTTGAGAATTTATATGGCTAGTCTGGTTATGTTCTGTTCGATCAACGAACGGTCAACAAATGGCCTTCAGTATGATATGGTTCTGATGATAGCACGCAGCATGCCGCTGCACGCAACCTCATGTAGCTGCTGGTCCCCATATATTCTCTCTAGGTTTGTCTGATATCGGGGGCTGAGTGTGGAATAGTCCCTGTTGGATTCCAGGGGTGCGACCGCCTAACATGCCGCATAACGCATAACAACCATGATTAACATGGCTGGAGAGGCGGTTGTGTCTCAAGCCCTTCCTCTAAAAGTAAGGGGGCGGAGAAGAGGTTTAGTATCTATACTACCTGATTTTTGACTAGCATTCAGGCGAATCCGTTCAGTCGAAGAGTTCCACTTACAAAATATTCCCCCTACGATACAAAAAATAAGGTTTGTATGAGATTGAATTTCGATTTCAACAGTAATGCATCGACAGAATTGCTGTGTAGCAGTCAAAAATCATTTGATTTGATTTAACAATTCAAGAAACTTATTTTTTTTCTATTGATTATACTTCTTGATACCTTTGATATATAATACCTCAAAGTGTACACCTATAGGGAACAAAACATACCTGCTCCAGCTAGATTATAAAAGAAATAAGTTTTGTGCGAATCATAGGTGGTTACGAAGGGGTAGGTGATAAAAATCGCTAGCTACGCCAATGTCGGCTGCCTAACCATGATAGACTTTTTGTGGTTTATTCAAATAATTTTATATTTTATTATAAAATTATTTGGATTAGATCACGATCGATGAAACTGTCTGACGAAGATGCACTTGTTTCAGAATAACTTTCTTGACATTCATATCCCTTAACATGATAGAATGTTATGATATTCTTAATGAAAAATGCTTAAAAATCCATTTGGTCCCTGACGCCCTGAGATGGGATTCGAACCCTTTCGCAATCCGGGCGACTGCTCTAACCACTGAGCTATTCGAGACCAATTTTTTCATTAAGAATATTTTTCAGTATAGAATTGTGAATGCGAAATTAATCAAATATAATAAGTTTGTTATAATCATTAGTTATAATGTTATTGGTTGCTTTCTTGGTATATTCATATATATTAATAAATAATCAATTACATTATAACATACTTTCATATTTAGCATGACAGTACCTGTTATGTTATTGTTGCTTTCTTGGAGTATTACCTAATTTATAAAAATAAAATAAGGCATAGTCAAATAGTTTTGGGATTATGCCTTTTATGAAATTTATATAGATAAATAGGCACATGTCTAACTGTGGTAAACCAATGTTTTAACTTTTGATCGGTTGATATGTTTTTTTCAAACCTTTTCAACAGACTAAGTCCTAATTAATTATATTCCAAACCTTGCGCCACGAAATCTCTAAAATCGTGGATAAAACCAATATGTCGTGTTCAGCTTTAGAGATACATAACACGCAGCGAGGGACTCGGTTTTATAAAGGAAAAGGATGGTCTGAAATATCACATGTCATTGTACTTTAAAGTAGTAGTCTAAGTTCAACGTCCGTCACGTCACCCAAGAGGCAGTCTTGTTACTATTTCCTACACGCCAGAAGATAATGTGACCGAAATCATCAATAAGGTTACTGAATAATAAAGTTTCCTATTTGTTAAAATATTAAGTTCATCCAAATAACTTCTTCAGCATGTATGTACCACTATACTTTCAAAATCGATCGTTTAATACAAGCGCAGGGCTTGTCATTCACTGACGTCCTGCCATGCCTGCCAGGCGGTTCGCCTGACGCATGCGCGTCTGGCTAACGTCTATGCCGTACGGATATAGATGAGTGTTGGCTTGTACGTATTTTCGTAGTTCACAGAGATCTTTTTAACGTAGCTGTATTACTTTATCGCTAGAATTCACGTTTGAACGGATACCTATCTCATTTTGTCGCATCGTGATAAAGATAACGTCGACGTTAGTAGGTACAATATTTTGTAAATTATGTGATAGTGATATTGTTACTACTACTTATATAAATGAAAATTAAATTGTGGCAGAAGTATGCCAGCCTATGCTGTAACGTGCAGTTGGTCGGGTCGGGTCGTGTATGGCGCACGAACGGCATGAGGACTGAGTAGTGTAGTGTAGTAACCAGCGATCCCTGCGCCAGTCAGTAAAGCGGACTCGAACCGCGCAGTCGCGCGGTGCGTCGGTGCTCGTAGTTTTTTTAGTTTTGACAGTTGGCGGGTTTTTTCGTTTTGTTCATCTAGATTATTACGTGTGAAAATCATAGATTTTAAGTTAGTGTAATCTGTGTTTTTTCTATTTTTCTCTAGTGTACGACTAGTCATTGTGAATTTTCCACGCTGGCTGTGAATAGTGATTGCACGCCCCTGTGTACTGCCGTGGTTTGAGTGCGGAATTTTGTGATTTCTCATTCGGATATTGTATTGTGAACGTGAATATTTTGCTGTCAGGAACGACAAAGGTATGGTACATTGATTTTCTCCAAACTCAGGGCTGGATTGCTAATGAGGGCAGCCGGTTTCTCTTGAGCAGGCTCTGTAAACGGTTTCCAAATATAGAGTAAGCGGCTAATCGTGATATCTTGTACTTTCGGAATCTGTAGGTAACCTATTATATTGAATCTGGTCGTTCGTATAGTGATTTTCTGTTGGCCGGGCAGTGATATACCAGACAGCTGCTGTGAATGCGTAACGGGTAAAAATAAACACGGCATTATCGGCGAGTAGACACACCGGCTTTGCTTCGGACAACGTGGTACTAATTATGCATATTATACCATAACTTGTGTATTGTATAATGCCACAAAACCCGTACAATTTTTTATTTGCTAAATTATTAACTTGAAAGGTAGTTTTCAGTTTTGGACTTCTGTCAAAAAATTACTGTACATATACAATTGGAACTTTATGTGCAATCGTTAAAGATTAGAACCGTATAAAAGATTTTGACATAAAAAAATGCGGGCCTTCACTTTCACTATTTACAGCAATAAAAAAGAAATGCAATTTTTTCAAAGAATTGTTAGTACGATAAAGTATGTACATTCCTTGAAATAAACCAAATTTAAAATATTGAAGGTTGTGAATTCAGAAACCATTTTTGATACAATCATTAATTAACAACATCATTACAATCATATACTGGGGCATTTGCACTCCCTAAGGATGAAATCAGGTATGGAGAATGAGCCATAGCCCACCATTTGGACTCAGTGCTAATTGGCAACTCTGCCTGCAGATGCAGTCAAGACCAGCAAGTTATTATGTTAATTGACTTAATTTCCATACAGAATAGGCACTTTTTTACTTAGGAGATACATTGTTTGTTAGTCTCACAAAAACTCGAGAATGGCTAGGCCCATTTAGCTGATTTTGGTTTTCAAATGTTTGTTGTTGTTAAAGTTTAAACAGTGAGAGGTGATACAAAGTAATCTGGGATATCAAGTCCAAAATATTTTTGTTTGATTTGAAAATCATTTATCCACATGGGCAAACCATTGGAAAAGAACTAGTAATATACTATATATTATTATAATTATGCTAAAAAGTACACATAGCACAAACCAAAAAACCAAAATTGTTCTTCAGAACAGAAGAAATTCATATGAATGCCCATAGCAACAAAAATAGTAACTCAATATCTATAATTACAGAAGTAAGAAATTTTTTTAATAAAATGATTTTCTGCTTTCTAGAACTACTCATTTTTTAATAATGCTTGATTAGAACCTATTTTAAATGATGATATTTGGATAACCAACAGTAGACCAGCAGGCATATTCGCTAACTCAACTGACAATCAGAAATCGTGATCACCACAAAAATGAGCAATTACAATGTGTCAAATGCATTTATTTGTATTTTCTTTCATTGGTTCACAATTTTTACGTGTCAATATTGGCAATCTCCACAGACATATACACTTGAATTTTTTTCATATTCCATAAGTATTAGTGACAATAAAAGTGGACTCCAAGGAGAGATGACAGCTTGCCCATTATGACCTATATGAACAATTTATTACGGTAATCATCAGAAGTTGCCAAATTTTCAGTAAGCCCCTCCCCATCTCGGTTCTAAAAAAATCTATCTCGTCAATTTCAAGTCTTTAAGTTTTTAATATTCAAATTCAAAATGGAAATTATTGTGATAGTTTGTTGTATTTCAACGTGAAGTGCTTCTGTAAGTATGATGACAATGAAATTAGTACTGATAATGCATAGTGTTAAAAATAAAATTTGTTATCAATGTGTCATGCATGACGGTCTTTAACATTTGATAGTATATTATTCATTAGTCCACTATAGTTATGAAATATCAAAGCTAAACGTAAGGAGTCCCAAAAATTTCACTACTGATAGTCTAAATTGGCACATTACGAACAACTGGACCATATTTGTGTATCACAAAATAATGATCTGAATTTTATAGTTGAAGTTGTTTTTTTTTCAGGGTCCTTCAATTTCCTGTTTTATGTCTGAGAGTTTCAAGGACCAGAAAGCATTAGGGAAGATTAGTCGAAGTACCGGAAATGCTCCAAATACTTTATACAAATTGAATTAATTTTACAACAATTGTGTTTGTTGGTTTCTTTTTTTAAACATAGAATTATGTTTAGTTAGATTAATAAAAGAAACTATAAATTACAATTTCGGCGTCGAAACAATAGATTAAAACATCAATGTCAACCTGTAAAGTTTTCATTACCCAAGGAATGTAGTCATTGCCGACATATGACGTCAGAGGCGACGCTTGCCCCATAATGAATACTTTGGCTCTACTTACGCTGCCCGAATATCCTACCATGTTACAGCCTTCATAAAATTCCCTGGAAGAGCCATAAAGCAATACAGGCATTCCAGTTTTTATATGTAATTGTATTGATGTTTCACTTGGCGAAATTCCAACATGTAATATAGGACAGAGCTCCGCTTGGAATTAAGTATTCATTCACTTCAATAAATCTTTCTCTATCTTATTCATAAATATGCTGGGGCTACATGCCGCTGTCTCTGTCTTTTATTTCGGTATTAAGTAAGACAGTTGTCCTTCGACGTTTGCATGAATCACTTTTACTCGTGACCGCTGTTTGGCTTTTATGCCTTTTTCAACAGTTACTTAATGAAATGTTTTAAACTATTGTTCGGTTGTAAAATGTAGGTTTACTACGTGCCGTTTACGGTGAAATGCAATAGTTCTATCTCTTTTCAACATCTATTGACCTGAGCCAGAATTTTGATATAATGTGCACATAACCATAGTAAATATACTCTGACACATAAATTATATTACATCTGAGCTCTGACATAACTATGCCGTATTAATGGTGTCTCGATATGGCCTCTAGTTATTACTACTCCACTTACTCTGCATTTTTGTAGTCAATGTTGTGCGCAGATAACCCATCCAAACCATCATGCTATTACTAATAGAAGCAAACAGCAATGAAAAATGTTGCAAAAACGGAAAAGCTAGTAAACAAATAACAAAGACAGAAAAATTACGAACTAACTATACGTTTTCTGAAAGTCGTAAACGTTAAAGTTACCATAACTCTCCAGAACGGAGTGAGTATTGTAGATTTTTTCCTTGGAGAATTTACAGTGGCAATCACGGAGCTGCTTTATTCAATAAAAAATCTTATTCAGTGTTGAAAGTTGAAGATCATCAACACTATAAAATCACGAAGAAGATACCGCTGTAGGGTATTTTTTTTATTCTTCAATTTTGTTCAGCGGCGATCGGATATGACAATCTGATTTTGGTAAAATCACTACCAAATTCAACAAAATAACCTAGGCTCATAATTTTCTGTCCACGTAGACTTGGGCTCGTTACTATTCGCAAAACTAGCGCTTAAGTAATTTGGCAATGCACCGCATTGTACTCGCTGGGTTTGCGGTTAAAATTGCTAACTCGGAGACATATATAGATAAGCAAACCGTAATCTTACTTTTAATAACAATAGGTGTGTTAAAAAATATTAAATACGTATTTTTTTATTTTTTTCGTAATCATAAAATAATGACGATACATGGAATTGAAATTTCGCATGACGTCACATTATGGTACGTTTTCTACTCAACTGTGACGTAACGAGCCCCCACTCCTCAACTTTAATGCCTGCTATCTAAGCTATTTCTTGTTAAATTGAAGTAAAAAAAATACGTATTTAGTATTTTTCTATTATCTGACTGACGGACTAAATAGAATTGCATTTTTTTTACCCAGTCATCACCCCTATTACCCAGGATTTAACTTTTAAATTATGTTTTTTCTTACTTTTCATAACAATTACCCAAGATTGAAGTTTGAATTTGTTTTTTTTTTTTATAAAAGTGCCACACATTATTATCAAAAAATATGATTATCATTAATCATGATTACTTTTGCCCATCTCTTGGAACTTGGTGATGACTTTAACAAAAAAAAAATGGCTTATACAAGTATTAACAGGTTTATGCAAATATACGACTCGAAGTAAAATTAGCACCAAAATATTATTGATTCATGAACATAGTCACGTTAAAGAATATTTTTCTTAAGTTTTGATATAACTACGAGTAGTATAACAACTATGTAAGGAACAGGGAACAAGGAAAATATAACAACCTTTGCTGAGTTTCTTACCGAATTTGCAGATTACAAGGACTCGCGCTGTAGATTTGAGAACCTATGAGCTAGTTTTTGGATTGTCAAAAGTGCATGTTAAGAAACTAGACTGGATAGGTGGTTTGTCTTAAAAACCCTACTCACAGACTGCCTAAAACTCCTATTGCAAGAAATTTTGAACTTGAAATAAGCAAGTGCATTTGCTTATTCAAATGGTTTTATAACTGTTCTTATAAAGTAATGTGTGTGAACTAAATAAATAATAGGACTAATTAAATGAATTTGAAGAGTTTCTGAGAGATTTATAAAAAGTGCTCCTTAATCGCATAAAATAAGACAAAACAAGGCGTAATTTTACATTATTAATCGACTTTTACTCTGTACTGGTCGTATATATTTACACTTAATTAAATTTTATACTCTCGCTCATATTTATTTTCCGTGTCTCTATACTGTAGGACATTAATCGCTCAGATATTCTAAGTCTCGCTATGAAAATACAACTGCTACTATAAGATGGAATTAAATTTAGCTGAATGCAACCGCATAAGTTTAATATATCAATCTGGATTCTCTTGTCGTAAAATACACCGTAGTACTTTACAATACGACTCCGGCGTATTTATAACTGAATATGCATTTGATTATTCGTTTGGTTTCCGTCGAGCGTTCTCAAACTTGATGTACCTAGCATTTCTATTCAAACAGACAACAAGCCGCATGCTTGAATATTCAGGAAGCATTGCTTTATATTTTTTACCTTTATGTTGGTTTCTTTGTGCAGTTTCATTTATTTTTTTCACTACTAGATGAACTTTCATAAATCTGCCTATTATCATCAGACTAAGTC